TGATTTGATATGAATAAATCTACATTTAAAAATATATATATTTTATAAATATGATTAAGTTTATTCATGTCAGAAAAGCGATGTTCTATTTATTCAGTCAGTATTTAAATTCAGCATATTGTAAAGAAAATAACCTACAATGTTGTGGAGGCCAGCCTCCATGATGCATGAGAAAACTCAATATTTTTAAGAAAATGGCTGCTTATAAACCAATTTTTGATTAACTTTCATCCATACACATGCTCTGATCTTGACTCTAAATACCGTTTTCTGAACAAGTTTCATTGTACATAATGAAAAATATATTACAAATAAATTGCAAATCTATATTTTATATAGCAAACATTAGAGTTTTGATTAAGTGTTTTTATTAAAGTCTTTCTTTCATTTTATTGTTCAAACGTTTTTATTGGTATCTTTTTCAGTAACTTGCGTTGTTTCCTTAGGTTTGTGTCAGATGGAACGGTGGCCATCTTTATGTCAATGCTCTTCTTCGTCATCCCATCTCAGCTGCCCTCATGGAGCGGCTATGGTTTCACCGAGGCAGGTGAGATTTTACCTGGACCTTCAGATTTCTTGTCATCCAAATTACTTACCGAATGTTTCTTCATGTTACAGGTAAGAGGATTAAGGCGCCTCCAACTCTGCTGAACTGGCAGGTGGTCCATGAGCGGATGCCCTGGAACATCATCCTGCTGCTGGGAGGAGGATTTGCGCTGGCTGCTGGCAGTGAGGTGAACAACCAGAAACATCACATTTTTAAATTCACAGCTTCACAATAATAATCTGTAAGCTGTCACACCATGCCTTTAACTACCATAAATTATTTCAAACTTTATATATTTATCTGCTCATGCATGTAGCTATTTAATGTTTTTATTTATTTTAAATTTAGTCTGTGTTATATATTAATATTTAAACAGTTTTTAAAATTAGTTATTTGACATGTTTTTATATTCACAACTCTAAAATATTTTCTGAATTCTTTAATTTTCTACTTATTACTTATTTTGTTACTTTTCAAAAGAATTTTGTATTTACAATGTAATTAATATATACATGTGTAACATTTATGCCCTGTAATTTATAATTTTTTTAAATTAGAATTTAAAAAAATATTTTTATACATTTTTTATTCTACTTATTCATTTTTCTTATTAATTTTATGTTAAATCACAGAATCTAGATTGTTTTTATTTTTGCTAATTTATTTTTTAATTTTCTGATTGTATAGTTTTACAATATCTGATTCATCTTGGATTATTATTATGATACATAATTACATCTTATGTTAAATTCTGATTAATAATATAACTAGGGGGATAAATGTATGTTTCTGAATCTATAGATAATGTGTGATATCATTAGCAGAAGAGTTTGACTGGTACTGTAACTAAATGTGCTTCAGTTTTACCAAATTATTTCTGAAATATGTAAATATTTTTGATGCTGTCCACTATTTCTTTGTGTTTCTATATTTCAATCTCTCAAACAGATAAAATGGGTTTTTACTAAAGAACGGATGATTCTTAACATTAGGTTATCTGACCTAATGTTCCTGTTATCTTCCAGTATGGATATTTACAACTAATTCTTTCATAATCTGTGCAGATATTTAACATTTCTTTCACCTGCTTTATGTTTCGCTTTCCGTTTATCTTTGCAGGAGTCAGGTTTGTCTAAGTGGCTTGGAGATAGTCTGGCTCCCCTGCAGAAAATCCCTCCGTTTGCCATCTCCATTCTGCTCAGTCTGCTGGTGGCAACGTTCACCGAATGCTCCAGCAACACAGCAACCACCACCCTGTTCCTGCCCATTCTTGGTTCAATGGTAAACTGAGGGAAACATACTGTTTGTACTCACATATTCTTGGTATTTATATTTGTTTTGTCTTTCTTAGGCCACAGCTATCAAGCTACACCCACTTTACGTGATGCTGCCCTGCACCATCGCTGCCTCTCTTGCTTTCATGCTGCCTGTTGCCACACCACCCAACGCCATCGCCTTCTCTTTTGGAAACCTCAAGGTTATTGACATGGTGAGAAGAATTTAAATATTTAGTTATTACTCACAACCATGTGGTTAATTTAAAGAGAAAATAGTGAACCAAGAGTCACAGGTTGACTAGAATATGGCTCCTTGCTTCTTCAGGTCAAAGCTGGATTCATGCTGAACATCATTGGGATCCTCTGCATAAATTTGGGCATCAACACCTGGGGATACATCATGTTTGACATGGGTACGTTTCCTCAGTGGGCCAACAACACCCTCACTAAACCCTGAGTGGGATCACTGCCTGTAATGCCTTTTAAAGTATTTTTATATCTGTTAGCACAACATCATGAAGTGAGGAAAGATCAGAGCACAGTGACATAAATTTGATAACTTATTTTAAGTTTTGATGCATAAAAGACATCACTCGGGATTATCCTGAGTCCCATCCACTGACCAGTAAGAAAAGCTTTTAAAAAGATACAACTGTCATACAAAATTAATAAAGTCAATTTGTCCAAATTTGTGAAGCTCAAAGGTTTTCTATTCCACCAAAGATGACAAAAAAAGACTTTAATTAAACAAATACATATCATAGATGTACAAAACAGACTATTGTATGATATATAATTATGATATAATGTATGATATAACATCAAACTTATTAAGGAGTTTGATGAAGTATAAAGAAAAAACTTTAATCTGCAGTTTTTGTCTTTAAATCCTTTTAACCTTGTTTAACTGATAGGTACATTGTTAAACCCGTGTTTATTACTTCCTGATGTCAAGCTCACAACAGAAAAAACATTGGAGGTTTTTTCCTTGTACACATTTTTCTGAAAGTGTCTTCACCTCACTATTAATTTTATTTACAAATGTTGCACATATCTTTCAGTGATTTTTTTTAAAATTCTGTTACTCTAACAAACATAGTCTTAAATAGAAAATTGAAATAAATGTAAATTAACTTTATGTGTTAACTTAATTTATTGCTGAAAGTTTAATTACAATAAGCTGTGACTTTTGGTTGGATTTTTGTTGTACTGTTTTTATCACAAGTACATGTTTCTTAACTTGTAAATATCACAGAATAGGACTTTTTCATTGTTTACATACTGTACTGTGTTTTTAAATCACATTTTTAAAAGATGTACCATTTAGCTGCTGAGCAAGTAAAAAAAACACAAGCTTGTTCATTCAAACTCAAATTGTCAGGAAGAAGTGATTTTGTCCTAATAAAATTGTTAAAATATTTGTTTTGTTTTGTCGTATTTGTAGAAATTTCTTTCTGTGGGTCTTTTGCCTATTCACAAATAAAATCAGCCGGATTCAAATCTTGTGAAAGTTGACTTATGATGAGTTTATGTCTTTAAACAGGAATTTAAAAGCATTTTTTTAGAAGAAGATTCCAAATGAATGCCCAAGTGCCTCTGCTTCATTAATATAAGTTTAAAAACTGGTATTTTGTAAACATTTATAAAATAAGGTTTTTATAAATCTGCATAATTTTTGAGAGTAGAAAAGTTGCTGCAGATGAAATATTTGAGAAAATTTCTGTGTCTGAAAGCTGCACTTTATTACTTTACTGCTATAAAAATGAATGGAAAATTTGTGGCTCATTTGGTATTTATCGATGCTTTTAGGTTTTCTAGGCTTTATAAGCTAATTTTGAAGATGTAGTGAATGCAACAATCTCAGGACCCAGTGAACGTATGATGTCATTCTTTACTCTTACTGTTGGGAAACCTGTTCATTCTGATAAGCAGCTTTGGAGAAACGTACTGTACAGTGAGGCCACGTACTTTTCTGCAAAGTCATCAGTACAGGTCACTGACACTGAAAGGTAACAAAGCTCCTTTGTTTCTGCTGTCCGTACATCTTTAATGCTTTTCTGCCTTCCTTATCAGGTCGCATGTTTCACTGCCAAACTGAACAGACTTCCTTATGGTAGTGCAGGGGTTGGCAACCCGCGGCTCTTTAGCGCCGCCCTAGTGGCTCTTTGGAGCTTCATCAAAAATGTTTGAAAATGGGAAAGATGGGGCTGGGAAATATATTTTTTGTTTTATTATGGTTTCTTTAGGAGGACAAACACGACACAATCATTCTGAACGTTTTCCAATGCTATAAAAATGTGTAGAAGAAACATTAAATTTTACAGTTGTTGGACCGAATCCTCTGCATTCGTTGCCAGGAAGGATTGCCTGAATGTTCGCTCTGCAGCGACAAGTGCAAAAAAAAAAAAACTGAAAACATACATAAATAAGCGATACAGTAATTTTCATCAGTAGACATTTAGAAAGACACTTAGCGATATTATTTTGTGTCGTTGCTCAGGTCGGGTTGCTCGTGGCTGCTTTGTGTTACTGTTGCACTGACTTGCTTGGCATTTGCACAGAAATTGAACTTAAACTCTTAATTTTATATACTTTACGTTTTCAAAAGGCTGCCGTTTTATTACACTCCGTTTATTGTTTTCAATACGTTACTAAGTTTTGCCTTTCTCCCTTCTGAAAAGGTGAAAGCAGCAAATCAAGAGCAGGCAGGCGCTAATAAATCTTTGTACTGTACGTACAGATTAAAAGTCTGTTGGAAGGATAACTGTGAGATAAGAGGCTGCCAACAGGATGTTACAGATGTGAAAGGCCGCTCTCTATCATGTTTATTACGAGAGCAATAAACTAAAAATACAGAGGTCAAAGTAAAGTTTTATGCTTCTTCCAAATTACCTGTGATATGCAGGATCTAAATCGATTCAGATTTCATTAAAAAACAATTTTGCTCTTTAATTCAAATCAAATAGTAAAAGCTTTATTAAACCCAATGTTATGTGTTTTAACTGTTTACTCTTGTTAGTAACTCTGTTGTCTTTGTTATTTTCACTGTATGCTTTTAACTTTTTTCATTAAATTGCTAAAATAAATGTTTTGTCTGTAAAGTTTTAATGTTTTAAGATGCATTTGATTGTTTTCTGTTTGTTTCTCAGTGAGCAGAAAGAGTCCGAACACTGTAATGGTTTAAAAAGTCCAATAAATCTTTATTGTTCATTTCTTAAGTCTCACCAACATCTGGAAATTTTAAATAATTTCAAAATAATTTGTACGACTCACAACAAGTCCTTTAAAAATCTCCTATATATTTATGAAACATGTTCTAACAAAACATTCAAGTCAATTAGTTTAATTCCCAATCAAATCCTGTCTATTATTCTCTGCAGTCACATTTTTAAACTTTTACCATATTTATTTTTCAACTATAAACCAGAAACCAGTCCGGCCCGATGTGAATCACATGAAAATGTGTCTTCTGTCAGGATCTGAAGACACATCTGGTTTCCTTTCAATTGATTGACACAACTGATCAAAACATATAATGCATCAAACCAGAAAACATGTAAAAACGAACACCTCCCCTCCTAAATATCAGACAATTATTTGGATGTTTCTGACTGAAGTGTGCATATTAGAGGCATCTCATGACAGATCTCCTTCAAACAAAAGGAGTTTATGTAGCACACTCAAAATCTCTGGAATATGTAGAGGTGAAAATAACAGAAACAACTTTGAGGCAGAAATTAAGACAAATAAATGATTTTTGAACGCAACAAAAAAAAAAAACATCCAAATATTTTATTGTGCTACGTTTTTCAAATGTATATTTTTCTAAACCAAACGTTCGCCTGAAATTGTAATTTTCCATCCTTCCTGCAGAGAGACGACAATCTTCACTTCAAACAATGAAACACAAGGTTGTTTAAAGTACAACACAAGCACAGATGAAAAAGTGCATTTCTGTCCACATAAGACCAGCCACCTTTATGAGTTTCTCTGAAAAAACTTGCACTTTGAGTAAATGCAGAACTCACATACGTCCTACAGTTATTAGAGGTCAACAATCAAATCAGGACCGGAACAAGATGGAGCAGAAGTCTCATAAACTTCAAACTAATCACTGCTTACTGTGGAGAAAATGAACTGACAGCTTCTGGAAATCTACTTGACCTTCGGGAGGCAGATTAGAACATTGCTGACATTGAAATAATATTCTTTATTTTACCAGAGAGGTGTTTATGTCTCAAACAAACTATGGATAAAGACACACACAATCGTACAAAATGGCAGCAGACACACTCATACACATAGATAAGAAAAAAATCAAATAATCACAATCTTCCCAAAACTTACTGAAGACCTAAAAACACATTTAGAAGTGTGAGATTTGTTCCTACAGTGCCTTGCAAAAGTATTGAAACTAGTTGAATTTGTTCACATTTGGTCCCATTACAACCACATACTTTGTATTTTCACTTGGATTTTTTTCAGATGGTTTTGAAGTGAAAATAATATTTGTAGTATCTTTTTTTTAACAGGTTTCATTCTACGATGAAACGTGGCAAAGAAAACCTGTTGGAGTCTGCAACAGGTTTGTGCAACCATACAGCTGCAGTTAGATCAAAACATAGCCATGTGTTGGCATGGCCTAATCAAAGTCCAGAAGCAAATCTGACTTTGAATTTGGTGCTCTACATAAAATAGAATAGAAAATTGTGATTAGGCCTGCCGCAATAAGCAATAAATCAATTAACTGCATAATATATTAAAATAAGCTCATTAATTTCAATCTGTATTATTTATTGTTTTTCTATTTTATCTCTTTCTACCAAAAATTGGATGATAAAAGTCTTCAGTGGGTTTCGTTGGTGTCAGCCAGCTCTTTTTTTGAAGGACAGTTTTATTTACAAAGACTCCACAATTCATTTAACTGTTGTTTCTGTTGCCTTTGTTTATTCATTTTGGATTTTTAAAATGTTTTCCATTTCCAGTGCTAAAAGTTTGTTGATCTTTGAGAATGTGCTCTTGCATTTTTATTCCCTTACTTGAAAATAAGCTCATTTATTGCAATAACTTCTGGACAAATTAAACGTCCAGCAAAATTGTGATGAAATCAGAAATTCAAGACTTATGAATATTTTTACAAGGCTCTATGATTCCTACCATTATCTACCTGAATAAAAAAAATAGTTTCTATTATTATTTGAAAACTTTTTTTCATGACGTGGCTAAAAACCATCTGAAATGTAAGCGTCGCTTTTCTGCTGGTTTATCATGTTACAAACACACTCCGTGTCTGTGTCCATGTGTGTGTGTTTGTGTGTATGCAGCTTCTTCAGATGCGTGTCTGTGTGCTTACACACAAACACTGAGATTATCACAAACCCATCTGCTGCTGGATGGAGTCGTATCAACAGGAGAAAGACAAACAGAGCAAAAGAAACACAGGAAGTTGAAGCCAACGCTGTCCTCTGACTGTCCTGCAGGTTGGTCCATTAATCCACCTGTCTCCTGCGGCAAAGGCGGCGTCTCTATGTGCCGCCATTGTAGGAGTAGTCTGCCTTGTTGTGCATCACCAGCTTATTGTCCACAAAGTAGAAGCTGTCAGACTGCGTCTCGTATGGGTGCAGGACCATCTCTCTGACTGTGGGTGCAGAATCAACACGTTAAGGTTCTAGTTTGTAACCTGGATGTAGTGATGGACTCTGACCTGACCCTTCTGGGTCACATAAAGACAGTTATACAGTGTACCACCTCTAGAATGCGCTGTTTTCCCCTAGTGATCACAGAAGTCTACTTTGTCTTTTTTTTTTTTGTTAGTTTGTTTTAAACTTTATTCTATGCACTCCGATTTTTTTTTTTTTTTTTTTTTTTTTTTTTTTTTTTGTGGAGGGCCCCCTGTGGTCAGGAGCCCGTAGAATTGTCATCACTTCCCCCTCCACCAATCCAGCGCCCCTGGATTTATACCGCAAAATGTCTTCCACTGTTTCTTTAACCTTTCCTCTGTCGCCCCCTTGAGGTTGATGACTAGAATATTTTTAACTATGCATGAACATATAAATGAACATAAATGCAGCTCTCACAGGGCAGACATTTATCCAGCGGCCCGCTGTGTTTTTGAGTTAAAAAAATGTTTAAAGTTGACAGAAAATATGAAAATATCTCTTGATAATTATGCGTTACTGGAAGATCGGAAGGGTAATACCTGAACACCAGTTATAAAGTACAGAGGCCGACAGGTGCAAGCATGCAGCAAACGGCGAAATAAATTGCGAACACATGTAAAAAAAAACAATAACAAATGCAATGGAAAAGCAATGCAAACAAAAAAATCCTGCAATAGCAGAAAATACAGGCAGAAACCTTCAATTAACAAAAAAAATGCAAACACAAACAAAATGCTTCTTGTTTGCTGCAGGTTGCGCTGTTTGCACTTGTCAGCCACCATAATAAAGTCTTCAAAACATTGTAAATAAACTATTTTTAGCCTGGTGGGGGCACCACTATAGTCTGGTGGCCCACCAGGCTTATCATACACTGGAGGAAACCCTGGAACTTCACTACCATTCTTAGCTTATTAATAAACTGATTTTGCAAAATGTTCAGTTGAAGCTTCCTTTACCCAGAGAGGTGAATAAATTGGTGCTGCTGTGTAATGTTTACTGGTGACTTACTGGTGTCCTCTGACAGAGGCGGGAATTCGTAGATGTGCTCACAGGTGTTCTTGCTGCTGGGCATACAGAAGCCAAACTCAAAGTCGAAACTCTTGAGCAGCTTCTCCCTGAAATAATGTCTCTCAATCATCCGGAAGTTTTCTATCGGCATGTCACCAACTGTAAACTCGACGCTGGATGGACGAAGAATCAAAAAAGATGAAAAGGTTATGAGAGATATAAACTACGACAGTTTTTAGTTTGATCTACTGCAGACTGTAAATGCAGATTCATTTATACTCACGTAGCTCCAACCTGCCGCAGTCGGAGGAAAGCAGGGGTGAACTGGTAACGAACAAAACGGCCAGCGTTCGGGTCGATATCCCTCTTCTCTCCTGACTTATCTGAGATGGAAACCAGTTTCGAAATAAATAAAACTAACATTTAACAAAAAGAAAATAATGCTTAAAATGCTCAAATGCAAATAAAAACCAAAAATAAACATGTAATAGAAAGGTTGACTTTTCACGTCCCTGAAGTTTTTTTGTTTGCAACCACAAATTTCAGAAAGTCTCATTTGTGGGCAGATGACATGAATTCCAAATTTATGAGAAATTAAAGTCCTAAAAAGTGCTTTCCTCCATCTTGAGCTCAAATGTTTTGTGGCCTATAATCAGATGTTTCCCCACAGTTCCCTTTATTTAAATCCATCCATTTCCCAACTCTCCGACAAAACAAAATCATCCCCAAAGAAATGGTTTTCTGGCTGATTTGCAATGTCAGTTTTCCTAACACTAAATTTTATTCATGAGTCTCTAAGTTGTTCAAAAAACAGATTAGATTAAGTACCGGAGAATTCTGCTTACTGGGTTTTATTTAAGAACATCTGAGTAAAGGGGACCAAATTTCGCAATATTTTCAAAACCGTTTATGCATTTTGTTCCACCTCACAAAATGGCCGCTATGTAGTGTTGCTTCATTAAATAAAACATTCCTACAAAATATATTGAAATTCTGACAGGACAAAAGTCAAAAAAGATCCAGGGGTGAAAATGAAGGGAACATTTCCTATTGGTTAATCTCAATCCAACTGATCACTAGGATTGCTTTATTTTTCCTTATTTTAATGTGGAATACTATATTTACCCAAATTTTATAAACCGGACAAGTAAAAAATACCATTATGTGTGTTAGGATGATGTCTCTGTGGCTAAATTTATTTTTAAACCCTGTTGTGTGGACACCACAGCTCTGATATTTGATGAACTAGCTGCTCAGGACTCGCCTGTGGACGGAGGTTTGGTGATTTCAAACAGCACTGTGCTCGTCTCCATGTCTCTGATCTTGAACCTTGTGAAATCGATATTGAAAACATTCTCGTCTGGGCTGCAAAGATAATCTGCAGGAGGAAAAACACAAAGAAGAAGAAGAAGAAGATGCTTAAAGTAAGACCACAAAAAGGGAACAATGCTGCGTGCTAATTAAGATGCGAAATACTAATTTGCAAACAAACAGGTGTAATGCTTTTTAAGAATTTACCAAAATCAATAATGTTTATCCAGTCAGCATTTGTTAAAAACTCTTTTCTTTATTTTATAGAATAATGGTGGCACAATGTGTTGAGAAAGCCTTTCCAGACAGATTCAACATCAGCACAAACACACCAGCAGCCAGAGAGAAAGAGAAGTGAGTTATTTTTATTCCTCTAATCCTCCCTGCCCTTAGCAGGCAGTGTCACTGCTTATTAGAGTTCCCCAACAGAGCACACACTTCCTGCTTTCTGTCTGATCCGACATCCATGCAGATGCTGCTGCTCTTAATGCCGTTCACGTCAGAAGCCATGAAATAGAAACATTTCAGAGGCTGGAGGGCAGCGACTGGCCTTCGTATGAGTGAAAGAGGGTCAGTTTGTGAGTAATTGTGTTTTCCATGTCACATCCAGCTATTGGTGCAGCTCATCCTTCTCATTGGACTGTGAGCTTTTTCACAGTTTCTCTTTCTGGAAATGCTCTGTCTCCTCCAGCTATCTGCTGTGTCAGCACATAAAACCAACAGAGGAGGAAACAGCTTCAGAGGGATGAGTTAATTGCTAATGATGCCAGCTCTGACTGGACAGTCAACCCACCAGCTGACTAAACTCCTGCTCAGTAACTCGTCCTTTCCTCTGGCTTTTAACGCTAACTCTGTATTTTATTGTTTCTGCAGTGTTAAAGAAAATTAGACTCCTAACATCTGACAGCAAACATGTTTTAATTGCATCTCATATAATGGTTGTTTTTGATTATGTGTTTGAAACACATTTTAAATTGCATTTATGCATAGAATCTTCTTCTGCCGACAAAAGAACTTTGAGACAGGCTGTGCCATTAACCAGGGGTGTCCAAAGTGTGGCCCGGGGGCCATTTGTGTCCCATGATGTGATTTTGTGCGGCTCTCTTGCACAGTACAAAAATGGTAGCTCAAAGTTGGAGGTCGATGCAGTTAAACAGATCTGCATTTGAAGAGTAAATGACCAAAGTTATTTACTCTAAGTTATGGAAACCTTAGAGGAATATTGACAACATTCGCCAAAAGTTTTTTTATTTTCTGTACTGATGTAGCCCTGAAGATGAACCGCAATCCTCAGTCCATGGATGCTGTCAACGCCTTCCCCTGCAGGGGTAAATGCTCTTCAAGAAGAAACAATTTATTCTGTCTGCTCTTCTGTCAGTCTGAATGCAGAGCTCAGCATTTCTAAACACATCAGCTCTGCATGCTGCAATCCAGCCGCAACCTCTGGGTTTTCACACAGTTTTAGCAAAATTTAAACCAAGACAAACTGTTTTCTATAAACAATTGTTGATGAGTACACACCCCCCAGCCTCTACGTTGTTGGCTCATTCTTCTGCCAACTTACTACTAATCATCATCTCTGAGCCTCCTGATAAAATCCCCTGGTAGCAATAATGCTAAATTAGAGACAGCGAGTTTGTTCTGTGTGAGAATTTATGTGTGTGCTTATAAAGGTCAATCTGAGCTGTTTACTGTAATTTACACAGTCTGTGTCTGTGACCTCGGTTATGTTCCTCACACAGCCACCCAAGGACAACCTGCGGCTGAAAATTGCTCAAGCAAGCTGCAGTTTTTCACCGCCTGCTCTCCTCTCTGGCGTGACAGCAAACAGTCGCACACACGCCAAGCGTTCACCAGGCCTCTCCAGTCTGTCTGTTCAGCGTTACAACACACATTTTCACACGCACATCTTAATTATTATTTAAAGCAGCACAATATATCAAATATTAAAATATTTGCAAGACGATAATCAGAAAGTTTGGATGCAGTATTTGGTTGGGTATAATATTTCAAGACAAAACTTGATAACACTTTATAAATGTTTACGACTGCTGTCATGAAGCGGTAAATAGTAACACTATTAATGCAAAATTGCATTATTTGGTAAGCTAAATAACAGTTAGCTTTTCAAAGAATTGTGTTTATAAATAATAATGGATAAATGGCTTAAAACCGGGTCACCAAAAAGAACGTCTGCAGAAATCGGTGTAAAGTTTCTCAGGGTGAGTTGCAGAACCTTTACTGTTGAACGTTATTACGATGGAGCAGGAATGCATTTCTAGCTACTGCTGTACTAGATGCAACATGGCGGTGTCATGTTTTCTTTCAATGACAAGCTGATAATCTATTCTCTCAAAATCTGCAAATAACTCAAAACGCCCTAGAGGACGTGTGACGGTTTCGTTGCCTCGTGCCCAGTCACATTTACAGAACAACCCAAAAGACAATCAGTTAAGAGGCTTGGCAGCGTAATTTTTATTTATTTTCCAGTTCAAATATCTTAGTTCACTTAAAATAAGACAAAGCTGACGTGCAAGTAACTTTTCAGCAAGATATATGAGTTTTAAAGTAAATAGTTCCGCAGTCTTGATGAAAATGTTCCAGTTCCATTGGCAGATTATTTCACTTCTAACAAGACATTTTCCCCATCAGTGAAATAATCTGTGAATGGAACTAGAACTTTTTAATTAATATTAAACAATTATTGACTCTAAGCAACTCCTACATCGTACTGAAAAGCATAACCTGTGAGTTAGCATTGTCTTATTTTATTGCACTGAGATATTTCTGCTAGAAACTGGACCAATAATACTTGGTAAGATTTCGTGTTTTTGGAGTGCACATAGGACAAGCAATTTAAAAAGACCAATTAACGTAATAGTAAAGTTATGGGAAGAAGTTGGAGTACCAGGAAGAACCCAAACATGCGCAGGGAGAACGTATAGAAACGCCCCAAGCCAAAGAGAAAACACCCATTTAGCTTTTACTTATGGAAACGTTCGACTATAAAGTTGCTCAACGCCACATTCATTTTAAAATAATTGTAATAATTTAGTGTGCACCTTCACTACAATCTAAACTCTCGATCCAGTTCAAACGTTGTTCTAGCAGCCAGTGGACGCTGGAGGAGCCTGCCAGGCACATGCAACCATATTAAGAGCTTATAAACTCAACATGCCTGCTGGCAAAAATAACAGCTGACACTGATAATGGGATCTAGTTTAGTGTGTCCCAGTTCAGTCATAGAATAGGTCCATCCGCCATTACTGGGAGTTTCTGCTGTTTATGGCACATTTTATGTGGCTAACTGCAGTTCTCATATTACATTATGGTTGATTGTTCAATCAGAAATCAAGGCACTATCTTTCTGTTATCTTTGAATAAATTAGAAATGTTTCTTTATGAACATCTGGAAGGATTATTACATTGAAAAACAAAAAAAGAAACACGACCAATGATATCCAGATAACTTTGTAAGCCCTGAAGAAAGAGATTTTTGTCTTTCATTTCTTCTTTTTGTGCTGTCTCTATTTATGGCCACTTCCTGAGTTGCTCTTTATGGAAACAAAACTGAACTTCTGCTTTAGGATGAGTGAATACATCACTTATTTAAAAAACATGAAATCAAAAAACAGCATGTTTGGTTATATATGATTTTAAAAACATTCAATTCAAAACATCAACAATAAAACAGAAATATTGAATGTCTAGTTTTTCTCTATTTCACCACCATGTTGTTATATTTATATACTCATATATTTTTACATCTGAAACATTATTGCTGATCTGGAATGAATCATCCCGGTTTGGAGTGATCAGTAATGCACCGATTTCTCAAAACGTCAGAAAATACAAATTGGTTATAATCCAAATCTTTGGATCTGGATTTAAACAGAGAAGCAAAAATGGAGTTTCAAAATTCCAGAAAAGCACTTAGATGAAAAAAAAGCAAGTTTTTACAGAACAAATCTAAGTTTAAATCATTTTAAAAACTCACTCATTTAGAAAAAAAAAAGATTTGATCCTGGAATAGGACATAAAGTTTGGCATTTTATTTGTTTTCTATGTTAAATGTAAATTTTTCCATATTTTTCAGACTATTCAACACTGTAGAAAACTACATTGAGTAAATATGCAAGAACAGAGATGTGGGTAAAATGTCATTGCAGGGAGTTCATTGTCTCTGCATCTAACCCTGGAAATTAAAACAATAAAAACAATCACAGCTTAATGCATCTGACTTCTTCCACTAGTACTTAATGACAATATGGCAACAAAGGCACTCCAGGCATTTGGATAAGAGAAAGAAGGCACTCATGCAGCTCATGTGGACTAATCCGGTTTAGTTTCTTCAATGAAGGCAAATCCAGGTAATCAGCAGAGTGAAGGGGCGGTATGTAGGAGGGAGACGGAGGAGTGCAGCGTGGACGGTACCAGATGAAATCAGGACAAAAGAATCACTGTTTCAAGAGGAACAAGGTTACATTTTAGAAAAAAAGATCCCCTAAAAGCCAAACTATGGGAATTTTACAGCTAATCTGAGTGTCGGAGCAAAAGAAACAATACTCTGTGGATGAAATCTAATATTATTTGTTGAGGGAAATTATTCAACTTAAACAGACTTTAATTTTCAATCATATTTCTTAACATTTCAGACAGTATGGAGGCTCATTTGGTTATTCATAGCTGTTAATAGTGAGAAAATATATGGTCCTCATAGTTTGATTAATGTGACTTATAATTGACTTATAATAAACTCCTTCCAATTTTATTTTAAAGAAATAAACTATGAATTAAGAGAGAAGGATTTATTTTTAGAAAACCAAAGACTGAGTCAAATATTAAAAACAACTTCAGTGAGAGGGATTCAGACGTGGATAATTGTTGAGATGAATTAAAACTGTGGTTTTCACTCTTAAAATTAAAGAAAATTATTAAAATCATCTGCTACACAAATAAAATACAGTTTATCTCCCTCACCTCCCTTACTCTTTGCTACAATGCAGATAGCAGAGCACGTTGTGAATGCTAGCGCTAACTAGCGTAGCTGCCAATAACGGTGAATAAAATAAGTTAGGGCATTTAGCAGCAAGTAAATGAGGTTGATTGACAGCGCTAAGAGCCTCCTCCTGGCTCTGATTGGTTGTTTTTTATCAGTAGCAGTGCATTTCTTCAATAACAACTCAGGGAGAAGGTGGAGAAGATCAATCTTTTCACATATTATCTGCCTCATAACAAACTATGACAGATGATCATAATTTGTGATGATTATGTTATAACAGGCTGTCAAACTCATTCTAATTTTGCGCCATATCAGAAACCTGAATGTTCTTAAAGGGCCGGTTGTGCCAGCATATATTGATAAAACCCATTAAACTGTTAAAGTATCAATAAATAACTGTTCCTCCAGGATTTTGTGATTGTTTTAGTGTTTATTTGCAATCAAAATGGCCCATTTTGTAGTGACAATTTATAAATGCTTGTTAGGAACTTTTACAATATTTGCGCTAATGCATGATTTTAAATGTGATTTTTTTATGACCCGACATATCAATTACGGACTATAACTTGACATACAGTAAGGCCGAGGCAGCAGTCACTGAAACTCAATGTTTTGGACCAATTTTGAGAAAATGTGCAGATTTGTGAAAAATCTGCAAAAGGACTTGTAATTTGGAGTCTTGAGGGCCACATAAAAAGTTAAAGTGGGCCAGATATGGCCCCCGGGCCTTGAGTTTGACACGTGTGTTATAAGTTACACACTGCAGGTTTAATGTTGTTAATTATTTATTTACTGCACATCACATCAGTGCAACAACATTCACCAACATTACTGCATAATGCATAGTTTTACAAAGTGAGTCTAATTGTAGGTGCTTGATTGGATGTTCTAATTGCTTTTGGGAATTAATTTGGAGACAGACTCCAGACCCTACAAAGATTAGGAAGCTAAAGAAAATGGACAGATGGACTCTTCAGCACAAAGAGGTGTCCCTGTGTAAGCTGCTTTGTTCTGTCACAGGTCAGCTGAACCCGTCCCACGACGATGGCACTGCTTGTGCCGACCCGACAGGTATGTACCGATTATCAAAAAACTCTGTCTCAGCAGCCATAATGATAATACAAAACTTTTCGTCTGCGATCTTTGGAAAACATCTGAAAACAAATCAATCCTCCAGCTGCAGCTGATCCAGAGGCTTCTGCTCGTGTTCTCACTAGAACCAGGAAGATAGAGACATAACACCAGTTTTAAAGTCCCTCCACTGGCTCCTTGTAGCTCAAAGAATAGACTTTAAAATACTGTTGTTAATTTACAAATCGCTGACAGTTTAGCACCACAATACATCAAAGATCTGCTGTTGTTGTATCAACCTTCCCGACCTCTCAGGTTCTGGTTCTGGTCTGCTCTGCATCCCCAGAACCAGAACCAAGAGAGGAGAAGCAGCTTTCAGCATCTATGCACCAAAAATTTGGAACAAACTTCCAGAAAACTGTAAAACAGCGGAAACCCTGACTTCCTGTAAATCTCAACTAAAAACACACCTGTTTAGAGTCTTATTTGAAATGTCATATGGAACAATGTATCTTTTATTATATGTTGCATGACTTTGTGTTTTTGTGTTTATGATGTAAAGCACTTTGAAACGCCTTGCTGCTGAAATGTGCTATACAAATAAAATTTGATTGATTGATTAATTGATAGTAAAAAAAAAGACATGTAAGTTCGTTTTGTCTTTATTCAAGTGAATTAAGATATTTGGACAAGAAACGAGGCCAAAAACACTTGGTGAGACTTTCAGGCTGAACGTGGCAGAAACACATTTCTGTGGTTTAGGATTGTTTTCTATCCTCTCTTAGTGCCGTCAAGCCGCTTCAGAGAGGGACTTCAGCCACTTGAGGATTCGTGGCAGCAACAAAACAAGAGCGCGGCTGCTGCAGCGGCTGCAGCGGCTGCAGCGGCTGCTGCAGCGGCTCCTCTGGAGAGAGCTCAGGTTTGCTTCCTGATGTCAAAGCGTGTGATGGGGGTCCGTCTCCGTTTCATCAGCGAGCCGCTCCGCTGTGAAACGGGGGAGAAAACAGGAAGTGTGTGGGAGAACAGAGATGCATGCTCTGCTGGCTGCAACCAGTAGGGAGATGCTTCACGTTGCTGTAGTGATTCAAGCGTGCATCTGCGTTGCCGTGGTGATTCACACATGCCTCTCTGGCTTCCCAGTGATGACGCCAGAAAGTGACCGCTTTTAAGACTCGTCCGGTTTAAATGTGATGGGTTCGCTTTACTCGCAGGTGCTGCTGTTTCAGTAACACTAGACATCTTACAGAAGATACCAGACGATTTGGCTGTGAGTGAAGATAAGCTGAGTAAGCTGTGGTTATTATTAGAAAACTGCAAAACAACCGAAACACCGAGATTCTTTAAATCCAAACACACCTGAATGATAATAAATGGAATATTGATCATCATATTTCATGATAGAACTTGAGAATATGTAATATTTGTATCAATTTTTAATTGGTGACTGTATTGTGTTTGAATTGCTTTTTATTTTTGTGATTTTACCACATAAGCACTTTGTTTTCAGAGGTGGGCAGAGTATTCAAAAGTTATACTCAGCTAAAGTACTTCAACATGCTTTTTTAAAAGTAAAAAATACAGCAAAGTAAAAATATTCCTAAAAGTACTTTTTTTTTTCAAAAATGTTACTCAACTAAATGTAACTAGTTACCACCCAACTCTACTTGTTGCTGAAATGATCAATAATGCAAACAAACATGGTTAATTGATTGATTGATTGATTGATTGATTGTCCTAGAGTGGAACAAAGAGGATTAATCATAAACTTATTCTCCTGCTTAGTCTGTAAATATGTCAAGAAACAAGAAGAAAAGATGAAAAGACAAGACGTCATCTCCTACATGAACAATTATTTGATGAAAATGTTCAATTTCAATTAAGACGTCAGCAGTGCTTTGGAGTTCAAACTTTGAATTGCCTTTTTAAAAAGGTGCAAGCAAGTCCAACAGTGTGTTTATGTTCTAACACTCTGTAACCAGGTTGTGTAAGCAGCCTTTAAATAGTCAAACGTCCTTCTGCCACCTGTTAGCTAACTTATTCTCGTCTACATAAGAGCTTTCTACAGATCTAACTGTGACATAATTAAAAAACTAAATTTATAAAATGAATAAGAATGTTTAAAATGTAAGTAGGTTATCTGATGTAAAGGAAGAAGCTGCTGGTAAATTCATTCATTCTTTCCAGTTTTTAATTTCTATATTGTTTATGTTTCTTTTTAAATAATACAAAATAGTATTATTTAGCTGTCAAGTAGAAAAAGAGAAACATCAAATATTATAATTTACTAAGGCAAATCAGATTTGAAAAAAATCCAACATTACAGCAACTTAGGGCCCCCTACTGGTCAGGAGGTCCTAACACACTTAAATTGTGAATTTGAACATTTTGTTTTTTATCTCCACTGTCGCCACGTTCTTGCTGTAGATAAAAATTGATGCAAAGTTAATGACTGAATGGATTTGATTAGGCCTCTTTTTATTCCTCTTGTAAAATTCAAAATCATTTTATAAAGTCACAATCACATTTCAGCAGATTTTCCTGAGATTCTGTACATGAAAAGCTGCACAATTTTGTGAAGTCAAGGAAATTTCAACATGGTTTTAATTTTTTTGGGCCAAAAAATTTACCAAAAATAATCTGAAAAGTGTAGCGTCCATTTAACTGTATGTATAATTTAATTTCAGCATAAATTCAGCTGTTTAATGAAGGCCTCGAAGGATTCGTCAGAAACCATCAGTGAACAAACAGCCTGATACAGAACAGGAACAACACAGCAGATTATAAAACAATAAGCTTCGAATATCTAATTGATCACCGATTAAGACAAACAAGAAAGACAAAATTACAACTTTTTTGGAAAAATGTACTTTTAGGATTATTTTTATAATTTTATTTGAGAATTTTATTATGAAATATGTCTTACTTGAGTGAAATTTCTGGATTTTCTATCCACTAAAACAAACATATTTTAACTAAAAATACAAACACACAACCTGCAGTTTAAGTTTCAAAAGTTTTTTTTATTTAAAGAAACTGATTTATAAAATATTCTATTTGTTTTGTTATTTATAAGAATTATCATCATTTTTGTCCTTAAAATACCAAAATCTCCATTTAACTTTATATTTTGGTCTGTCTGGTGATGTAATTTTTACTTTTTACTTTTACTTCAGTAAAAATATACTGAAGTAGAACTACTTTTGCTAGAGTAAAATGTTTGTACTCAAGCAAAAACATTGCATAAAATTGCCTATAATGAACACCGAGTTCTGTTTCTGATTGAAAAATAAGCAGGTTAATTAACGGGGTTTTTAAAAACACTGCATGCATAAATAATGTTCACCTGTGTGATTCTGTATTTTGAACCTAACCATCTCCAGTGAGAGCTCACCTTGGCTTCCACCTCAGCAGCTCATTTTTTGGTGTAACATCCACAAAGTGTGTTTGATGTGTCACCAGCGCAGAGCAGCTTCAGTTTGAGGTGTTTTCTCATGATTCAACAGGGCCTATACATTACATAAATAAGAGGACACAACAATGACGTGATGCATGACTCATTCGGGGTCTGACACATTTCCAGCACCTTTGTCCTGCCTTCCCTGCGCGCCAGCAGCCGTGAACTTACGCTCTGTGATCTTCTGCAAGCCCAGAACATCCTCCGGAGTGATCGCCGTCCTCCCCAGCAGCTCCTCCTCCGTGGTCACCGGGACCTCCACCTCGGCCGAGTTGCAGCCTTTCTTCACTTTCATCACCGCCGTTTGCTTCGGGCTGCCGTTGCCGGTGCTGTCCGTGCCGCCGTCGGTAGTTCTGGCTGGATTAGCGCTTGATGGGTCCTGGCTATTGCCTCTGCTGGTACAAGAATAGCTCATTCTCCTCCCTCCCTCCCCTCACCTCACCCAGGGTTTCCAAGATCTGCTAAACAGTTGCCTCCCTCGCTCCCTCCCTCCCTAAGCGAAGGCTGCAGAGTTGCTGCTTGTTCTCCGGTCCTTAGTTCAAACGCGCTCGTCTCTATGAACCTCCGCTGTCGGGTTGCATGGACGCGGCGCCCCGGTCCTCCTCCTGCGCGGTGGCGCTGCCTCTGTCCCGCTCCTTTGCGCAGTTGCTCTCCGTGAGGGAAGCGATGTTTGGGTCGTTTCAAGCGCAAGTAGACGTCTGAGGGAAATAATCTGCTGGGTTAGAAATTACAAAAAGAGGCGGCAGATGGTTGCGGCCGTTAAGAAGAAAGAGGAGGAGGAGGAGGAGGAAGAGGAGGGGTAGGATGTTCAGCCGCGCAGAAAGCGGCTGGTGGATCTGCGCACCGTCTGCGCTGTAAGCCACCAGTGCGCACAGCAATAAACATGATGAACAACTCTTTGTGTCTGAGCGCCTCAAAACATTTGCATTGCGTGGGCTGCTATAAAGGAGCCTCCTTTATCCACACCATAAAACACAATGCGCCATTTGATATGAAAAAAGTAAATCTGGTGTTTGGGTCACCACATGTCATAATCTCTGGAATCTGGAGGGATTAAAACAGAATATCTGCTCATTTTAGCGATCTGATGAAGCACTGGCGCTGAAAAAACCATTTGGACCCAAAATCCCAAAGGGACCCCAGGTTGTCTCAAATATTCATTTCCCCTAATGTGAAAGAATAAAAACATGCAAAATAAAAATTAGAGGAGGGAAAAGTACACAAACATCTACTTAAGTAAGAGCAGCACTAATTTAACATATTTTACTGAAGTTAAAGTAAAAAGTAAACATCCAAGAAGTTACTCAAGTAAATTTCAGAATTTTTAAGAGCGAAAATGACAATAAAACAAAAAAAAGTACAAATTCAGACAAGAGAAAATGTTTCCAAATCAGTTCCTTTCAATAAAATGGTAAAACTTTAACAGAAACTGCAGATATGTGACTTTATTTTTGTTTAAAACATGCATGTTTTAACCGCTGAATGAAAAACAAACATGTTTGGTTTTTTTGGGTAGAGAATCCAGAATTTTTACTCAAATAAGAGACATTTCATACTGAAACTACTCAAGTAAAAGTGAGAAGTACAGACTAGTAAAAATAGTCTTGATAGTACATTTTTTCAAAAAGGCTACTCAAGTAAATGTACTTGAGTAAATGTAACGAGCTACTGCGCAACTCTGATGAACATACATTTAAAGTTTGGATGATTTTGGACAAAAGTTTTGAAAATGATTCACACTCCCTGCAGATTTAAATTAAAAGTAACTTTCATTAGCAGGACTTAAAGTAGTATAACAACTTTTAAGTAATCCTTCAGTATACTGATCTAAATTTGACTGAGAATCTGTAGAGGTGGATAAAAATTAGCATCATGGTAAGAAGGCCTTCAAAAAATAATTGTAATGCCAATAAGTTTTTCTTTGAGCGATTTATGTCTCATGTATCAGAAACAAACTTTTTGGCTGAATGAAGAGAATTTTAAAATCACAATATCAGATTGTTTTGTGACAGTCTGGACACCACAAATCAAATAAACTGTTTTTCAAATGTAAAAAAAGAAATACTTGTAACCTAAAATGTCACATTTTATGCACCTTTTACATCGGAGTTTGTCAAAAACTCACATTTTTTGCATTGGAGTAAAAGGGAAGGGCAGTTGACAAAACACTTGTTGCAACATTGTGATAGCAGCTCTGATTATTGCACTGTGGCTCGGAGTTGCAGGTTTCAGTTGCTTCTCTTTATGCTGCTTACATGTCCTTTAAGCTAATTATTGTGACGTGCTATTTCTGGCTGATGGAGTCTGTCTTCCTAGACTCACTTCAGGGCCACAGACTGTTCACCCTGGATGGCATAAAAATATTTATGCAAACAGCCAAGAGTAAAAAAATGAATAAACACATTTTGAACGAGAAGAACACGAAGACCCGTCTTGTTTTTGTCAAATAAAAAACGATACGTGTGGAACTGAATCTAAGGAAGATGCTGTGCCAGGATCTAAAACTGGACATTTATGATAAAAACCATTAAAAATGTCTCAATTAGAAAAACTCTGCATGGGCCAAAGGTGGAATAACCTGGAAAACACTTTTTTACATCGGCCTGTATTGTTTTCCATTGCATTTCACTTAAAGGGGCAATATTATGCGTTTTTCAGACACACAGTGTCATTTTACAGCACAATTAAATAACTGTTAACTTCAGTTGTTATAAAAATGCAACATATCAAAAATGACTTGTAAATTTTGTAATTTGACAGCTGGAATTGGGCCTCTCTCTTTAAAAGCTCCTGCTCTTTTTGAAACTTTTTTCTCTTGTCCCTGGAGATGAAAGGATTCCTCAGGTATGTGAGAAAGAATCAAGGCAATACTCCAGGTTTGTTTTTGATGAGGAAATAACATTATAACCTGATGATTTTAGGTAAAACTGCCACTTGAATGAGTGAATTAAAGATTTAAACACTATTTACTGAGATTAGACATCTGTAAAGGAGAAAATTGTTTTGCACAGCACTTTATATGATCCAGTGGTGGACAGACACCACTGGATAAATTTCTTCAGCTGTGTTTGACTTGTGCCTGAAATCACACTCACTCCGAGTTTTACTCTGAGAAATACCTCAACAAGACATTTATTGTGAGCACTAAAATTTCCCAATTTGAACCTTTGCTATAAATATAACTGCCCACCTCATGGATGCTGAAGAATCCAATGCTTCAGTTCGTAAACTACCAGCAGGTCTGTTCTCTTTAAAGGCCGCAGGAAATGATTCACCCCATTTCACACTTATTAAGAAGCTGACTGGCCTCTGACGCCCCGAGAGAGACAACCTGCGTCAGAATAGTTCTTTACCAGCAGTCTTTTCGATCACCTTCAGATGCTGTTCAGTGAAAATATAAGCAAACTACAGCTGCTAGACACTGCAAACAGAGGATTCACATTTTTATTAAAGTTGTTGGTATCAAAAATAAGAGATCGTTTACTTTTATAGTAAAAGCACAAAGGTGCAATATCATCACACTGCATATTGTGTAAAAAAAAAATAGTACTCTGTGATTTTGCAAGTTATTGGTGCATTTCTCACATCAGCATCAACTTTTGTACAACAGCTGATGCATTTTTAAAAACAAACCCAGCAGTGGCACTTCTTCAAAAGCAAATATTTATGTCAGTGAAACAGTCGTCAAAGAGTCCAGATATATGAATAATGAAGCCAAATAGTTTTGTCAAGTTTTAATTTTGACAGTTTAATCTCTGCAGTGTTTTCTAATGCAACAAAGTCAAATGATCAGGGCATTTTTAATTTGCACAATAAATACTCTTTGCGATTATAATTGATCCACAACGTTGTGCAAGAGCAAAGTACAAACCTACATAAAACAAACATAAAAAACGTCAACAGGAATCAGTGAAATCAGTGAAACCTGGGAGAAATTGTTCAATATGAGAGACATTTTCAGTTCAGTTGTTTATTGTCATTGTAGCATAAGCAGCAAAATTAAAACAGTGTAGTTTGGTCAGCAATGAAATTAAATAGGTAGTACAGACACATACAGACTGAAGACTCGGTTGCAGTAAGATAAGCGAATGGTTGAGTTTCTCTTCAGTCTTTACTCCTCTAATCCTGGAAACGATCTTCAGCCGATGGAAGGCCGACTTTGTAACTGTCTTTGTGTGGAACAGAGCAGTTCAGGTCTGAAAGTCACAAAACAAAGTTTTAAGGAACCTCTTGCTTTGTTTTTGTTATTTTATGTAGCGTGTTTTCCACAAGGTATTTTACTGTGGTGGCTCACCGTTTGAAGAAGACACCAAAGTTTTGTGATGTAGATGGATTTCTGTATTTTCACTCTGGCTGTTGGCTATATGGTCACTGTGGGCTCTTCACATGGGCCTGCTGAGTCTGCTTGTCCCTTTGTCACGTCTGAGCTGCTGCTATCATCAGCAGAAACACACACACACACACACACACACACACACACACACACACACACACACACACATACATACATACATATACCCGTGTCCTACCTCTCACTTCGACCCACATAAATTCACATTGACTGAAAAAAAAAGTCACATTTTGACATAAATTGTAAAAGCGTAAGCGCTGCTCTCACTAATTGTGCGTCCGACCCGTTCAGATCATGTCATGGAGCGGCACGTAAACAGACATGTTCACACACACAGGCAGAGACGGGGAGTCTGGACAATGTGCTGACCTCAGGAAGCCATTCCTAAATGTTTATTGTTCAGGGCAGCAAGAAGAGAGACGAGGGTCAGCTCACCTACCAAACGCTCGTTCTGCTTACACCGAACCAGAGAAAACTAATCCAGCTTCTGAGGCTATTTCAGAAATAAATGCAATAAAAAGTTGAAGTTTGTTTATTTATTTGTGCCTGATTTATTTGATGAAACACAGAAAAGTAAATCAATGTGACCTGCTGGCTGCCAGTGAAGCCTTTTCAGTCCCACTGCCCCGCTCTTCACAGGCCATTACTCAGTGGCACAAAACGAGAAGCAGACATTTTCATTCATAAATCAGGATTTAAAACACATTCCACTCCGTTTCAATCAAGCTAATTTGCCCAAACCTCTTAATTTCATAGTTATTTTGCCAATATAATCACAGTTTTTGATATTTCAAAGTCACTGACGATGTCTGAGTTGATTATTCAAAATCACATGTGGCTACTTTTAACTAAAAATGACTCAAGAGGCATCAAATTTTAAATAACCACAGACAGAACAATCTGACAAAGAATAAATTGTCTATATTTCTATTTAAACAACCAGTTTAATGGTTTATTGAAGGCGCTGGATTACTGGATACTGTTTTAATTTCCAACATTTCTGTCACAAAACAAAAAATTCTATATATTTTATTAGGGTTTTATTGGAAGTCTTTCAGAAGCACGGTATTAATTTCCATTAATCTCTGCTGTGTAAAATTTCTAGAGGCATCTTTTCAATCTTTATCGGTTTTGTACTTTAATTTAAATTCTTTCAATTTTATTTTGCAAAATTGTCCAAGCTCAAACCGATCAGATGCAACATAAAATTTTACGTCATTTTTTATTTTATTTTGGACTTTAACTGAGCCATTGTAGCACCAGAGCATTTTCTGGCTGTAAGTTTAGCATTTTTATTTTCATCACAGTCCAGTTTTCTGCAGCTTCAAATTGTTTTGTTTCTTTTTTTGTCTGAATTGCCTGACATTTATCTCCATCCATCCACGTTCCTGCAGAAGAAAAACATTTCTGCATGTTTCACTGTGGAGATGTTCTGTTAGTTTTTCATTTTATTGAAAAGTTTATCTTCTGAGCAAATCACCTTCTTTTCCATGTTCTCTGCAAATCTTTCGTCTATGCGTTTCCAGATGTGAAACATTTTTAAAGTTAAACTAATAGTTGTCCTCTCAACAGAGATTCATGACTGTGCAGATTGAACAAGTCTGTAAAACCTCAGATGCTCTTTTTGACCTTGAAACTCCCCCTGACCTTTCTGTGATGTTCCTTGTTTCCCATGATGCTGTTTGTTCATTAATGATCTCTTAAAAACCTCTCAGGTCTTCACCTGGACACAAACTAAGATCAAATTATACAAAGGATGGCTTTGTTTACTAATTACCTGCCTTCAGATTTTATTTACTCTTTAAATTTAAATTAAAATTATGCTTCTACTTCACATTCATAATCTTCTATGTGTTGTTATACACCGCGTGAAACCCAAATAAGACACATTAAAGTTTGTGGGTGTAATACAACTTTTGCAGGAGTTAATACTGCAAAAATTTCGTATTTATTTGCAGAAAATAACAAAAAAAAAGGGGGCAGGGCTTTCATACTTCAAATAAGAAAACAAGTTCATATTTATTTAAAATCAACAATACAAATTTCCAAAATGATATGAGGGTCATCAATCTTTTCCAAAAACATTGCACAAATCCTCAAATCCAGAATTGATAAATTTACTTTCTAAAAACAGTTTTAACAGCCGATCAGTCTGATAAAAAATCCCTTTGTGGAAAGCTGCCCTCTGTTTTGTTTTTTTCACCTAATGTATAGATTTACCATGTAACGCAGTATAGCTGTGTCCCTCTTTGTGTTTGCATGAATCAAAGTGTGTCTGTGCGTTAACCCCTCTGTGGCCTCACAACAAAACAAAGCAAACTGCTGACAGGAAGGCAGGCGTGCCGAGCCCCGACCCCTGCAACCCGTGGGTGTATATATACCCCAATATGTACTGCTGCTGCAGACTGGAGCCCTGCACCACACAGCTCATCAGTTTGGGTAGGTCAAACAGATAAAAACAAGGCAAAACATTTTAAATATCTGTGGTCATCGATGTTACAATAAGCTGTAGCTGATTGTCACTGGAAAAAGAAAGTTAAACACAGACAAAAAGGAAGAAAAACACAGAAGGTGGAGAACAGAGCTTCTGCAAGCATCTTATGCCGTTAATATCCTGACTGCTGGTGTGTTTTCTTGACAGGTACAGCTGAAGAAAAGGACACAATGGCTCTGACAAACCCTATGCCCATGGGCCCTTGGAAGGTGAGCTCCACGCTGTACTTCCCACCCACGTCTCCAGCCTCATGCATCATGACCGATCCGTTTGTGCTCCGCAGATCACCGTGTACGATCAGGAGTACTTCCAAGGCAGGCGCATGGAGTTCACCGCCTGCTGCCAGAACATCATGGAGTGTGGGATGGAGAACATCCGCTCCCTGAAGGTGGAGTGTGGCGCGTACGTATCCACTCGGGCTTTCTCCTGATGTTTCACGTATTTCTGGGAAGAGTTTGCTGGTTACACGTTTCCCCGGTGTTTGACCCACAGCTGGGTCGGCTATGAGCACTCCAGCTTCTGTGGCCAGCAGTTTGTGCTGGAGAAGGGTGATTACCCTCGCTTCGAGGCCTACAGCGGCAGCAACTCCTACCGCATTGAGAGGATGATTTCCTTCAGGCCCATCTGCTGTGCTGTAGGTCCAAAAAGTCGCACAATTGAACCTTTTTTAGCACCAGCTCCAGCTGCAATGAAGCTGCTTTTCCTCTGCAGAACCACAAGGAGTCCCGCATGACCATCTTTGAGATGGAGAACATGATGGGGCGTCAGTTTGAGCTGTGTGACGACTACCCGTCCCTGCAGGCTATGGGCTGGATGAACAACGAGGTCGGATCCATGCAGATCCACTGCGGAGCGTGAGTTCTTCCTCCTGCTGAGCAATAGATATGCAAAAGAAATACAAGTTGATCAGTTCAATGAAGACTGAAAGGAGGTTAGATCAGTGGAGCAGATCACATTAAAACAGTCCATCTTTGTTACTTTATTGCATTTGTCAAACTCTAACTCCTTAAAATAACCTTTATGAGCTTAAATGTTATATTGTCAATGAAATCAAAGCAGTTTTTAATCTGTAATCTGTCAGATTACATCAGTGTGAAAAGATATTCAAATTTATTCATTGAATGCAGACAATAATTTTTATTCATCTTTTAACAGTTTTGTCAATACATTCAGCCACATTTATTGTCTTGATGTGGCCCAAAACAAGAATCAGGTTTTATTTATTTTTTTGTTTCATTTTGAGCAACATAAAAGAAAAAAAAATACCTTAATAAGTTAAAAAAAAAAACGGAACAAAGATTTTATAGATGTAAATTTGAATAAAATGACAATTTTTCTTTTGTTCTATGGACTATTGCCAAAATGTCAGCAAAATTCGTAGAAAAAATTTTATTTTCATTTGCAGAAAATGAGAAATGGTCAATAAAATGAAAAAGATGCTTTCAGACCCCAAATAATGCAGAGAAAACAAATAACATTAATTTAAAAACAACAGTTTTAGTGTTTTAATTCAGGAAGAGTTTAGATATTTGGTGGAATAACCAGGAGATTTTCAATGGGTTTCAGTGCAGTGGTTGTATTTACAGCAACAACAAGACATTTTCTGATTTATCAAACTCATGTTTTGTAAAATAAAACTGTATTTAGACATAACAAAAAGATTTGAGTACATTTTAATCTGTTGTCATTTTACAGGTTGCTATACAAACAAAAGCAGTAAATAAAACAGTAAATAAACAGTAAAATCATTGTAACATTTCTGTATGAACACTTCATTGCCCATTATAAAGTGTATTATGCCTGAAATATTACAAATACTGAAAGACATGATTGCATTCATAATCTGACTTCCACATTGTTTTTAAGTTTTATTGAGATAAAGACAAGGCTGTCTATTTCTAACTGTGTTTTTGAAAAAATTAATTGTGATCAATTTTGATACATTTTGAAGAGAAGCCAGTTGTTTTAAAATAAGGTATTGACTTAATGCTAGTAGATTTATTCAGTATCAGCTCAGGCTGATGGATGAATGAAACTAAAATCTGAAAAACCTGCTTTCTGACTGTTTCTCCTAAAAATCAAATTATTATATCAGATGAAAGGTTGTGGATGCTGAATAAGGCATTAAAAGTTACCCTGTTGCACATCAGAAGAGAAAATAAAATTCCTACTATTTGTGAAAGTTTCAAAGTGCTGTTTTGTTGTTTCCCTGCAGCTTTGTGTGCTATCAGTACCCTGGATATCGCGGCCACCAGTACATCATGGAGTGTGACTGCCGCGGAGGAGAGTACAAATGTTACCGTGAGTTTGGCTCCCACTCCCAGACTCCCCAGATCCAGTCCATCAGGAGGATCCAGCACTGAGAAAGGAGAGGATTTCCCTCACTCCACCTTCTTTCCTTCCCTTTTCCTCTCTTCCTGATACATTTACATCCCTTCTTTTCTTCTTCTTGTCCCACAACCTCCAACTCCCCAGCTCTGCTGACCCGGACGGTCAAAGCAGGACCAAAGGACTGAACTTCAGGTGCTTACTGACGTCAGTGGTTCCCTGCACACTTGCTTTATTTTTGTTTTAAAGGAGACGACATAAGTAAAGGAAGGCTATAAGAAAGACAGGCATTAGGAATGACAGATTTGAAAACAAATCAAAGAAAAAGAACGGATGCTCCACCTTGGTGATGAAAACATTTCAAAGTTAGTTGCTCTTTTACCTTCTCCTCTACGGATGAACAACCACCAATCTGGGTGTCGATGTGATATCAATGACTGCCTGTGTTAAGATAATAAATAAAGAAAATGAGCAAAGAAACAGACAGATTCATGACAATGATGCATTTCTATGTTTTCTTTTTCTTTCTCTGTGCTGATTTTTGACGCTGCTGTTTTAATAAACTAAAAAACAATGTTTTAATACTATTTAATGAATTCGTCAGGCACATGATACATGTAAATTTCCTTCTTTAAAAACCAAAACTCATATTTAACCCATTGCATTTAATGTGTGTGGTTTCGCAGAAATAAATTGACATAAAACAATAATTGCACCTACAAATTTGGGGTTTTACCAAATTTAAAGTCCCAAATTGGAGAAGGGAGGAATACTACGTAATAAAAAAATACCTCCAAATACTACTTTTTCAGAGTATAAATGAAAACCCTCCAACTAAATTAGTTTGTACATAATGTCATGATGTCACAGAAATATGTCACAATGTGATATAATACTGATGCCTCTCAATAAATCAGAATATAACTGAATATTTATTTAGAAATTAAATTAAAAAAGGAAATTATTATATTTGTTACACACAGACAGAATGATCAATTTCCAGTTAAATTTTATTTATTTTGAAGATTATTGCTTACAGCTAAACTCATAATTCAATTTATTTAAACATTTTTTAAATATAATATGAGAATACTTTTAAAAACAACACTTTTTGTAACATAAACATCAAGTTATGGCTTACTCCATTGCGCGGAAAAGAAAGTACTCTTCTGACTAGATTTTTAAAATGTAAAATTTACACAGTCAGTAATGCTTTGGGGAGTTATGCCATCTGCTGGTGTTGGTTCAGTGTGTTTTAACTTTAGCTTATCCTGAAGTTAGGTGAGCTAAATATAGCACAAATATTTGTGCTAAATTTACAAATACAGCAACCTGGACTGCCTCAAGTCCAATGCAATAGGCTGCAGCTTAATTTGGAGCAAAATGTATCATAACATTTTTTATCACAAATTTTTTTATTCACATTAAAATGTGAAGTACAATGTAACATAAACATTGTATTGTCACAAATATTGTCTTAAAATAATGATTTATTATTATTATTATTATTATTATTATTATTATTATTATTTATTATTATTATTATTATTATTATTAAAAAATAGATTTTCTTTACCTTTTTTGAGAAGACATCTTTGTTTACAGATGGAAAGAAAAAAAAACAGAAGTAAAACACTTTGTAGGTCAAGCACAAAGAAAAATTTTAAGGTTTGCATTTGCCGCTAGGGGGCACCGTGGGTCACGGAAGAAGTGCGACAGCTACTTCTCCCTTACGGCCGTGATGACATGTCAACAACAGTCATGGCAACCAGCTGCAACTACTGGGAAGGTAAGAAATGTTACAGAAATAAAAATAAAACAACTCTTGACTCATACTTGTCCTTGCAACTCTTTGTAAATTCGGGTCATTTATATTTATCGACTCACATCACTCGACGCGAATAAAGTTGTCGCCTGAGCGAATTAGATGTTTTAATTATTCCAAAGCTAACTTGTTAGCATCTGGCTATTAACGTCGAAGTTAAAAAGTTTGTCTCGGAAAAACTGAAGCGCTTCTATTTTGTTGATTTAATTTGGATATATTCACTCGTTTAATTTGCCTATAAACGAGTGAATTTAATTACAATGGCAGAAATTAAAACAAACCAATTACAACTGAAGCTTTATTACAACCCATTAACCTAAAACAAACGTTAACAGTGGTTTTGTTGCGTTACTACATGTTTTATTTATCTAAAACTTAAAATTTAAGCACAGTGGTGGTTAACCGTGACTTTAAAGAGGTCACAGAAAATATGCATTATTGCTTAAGGTTGTTTGAATCATGTTTGGGTAAATAAATAATTTTTGTTTAGGATGTAGAAATGATCTAATTACACACAGGATCACACGGCAATTATGGACCCCAATGAATCCTTTGCAATTGTGATGATGCAGACTTTTATTTTGCAGTGTTGAGATCCATTTACAAAACTATTTTCTGGTGCCAAGTTGTCACGTTTGTTACTGTGAGGCATTATAGTTTCACCAGTAAAGGCATCAACATACAACAGTGCTCCAGGAAATATGGCAAAATTTTGTGGCTAAATTCTGAAATTATATAGCTAATTCTGAAATTAAGCTAAAATTCGCTCAAGAGAACCATATGCTCATGAATCAAGTCAGCTGAGTTTTGGTATGCAAGTACTTGGAAAAAAATCATTTTATTAATATTTGATGTATTTCTGTGCCTAACTCATCTCCCTTATGTTGTGTTACACCAGTAATCTTCAGATGGCTTTATATTACCCTCTATTTTTCTTGTCACCTGAAAATATTTTCCCAGCATGTTTCTCCATTTCTTCCCTCAGATTTACGGAAGCAGGCCAGACAGCTGGAGAATGAGCTGGACCTTAAGCTGGTCTCCTTCAGTAAACTCTGCACAAGTTACCGCGGCGGCCATGACCAGCAGGAAAGAGACAGCAGGTAGCTGCAAAACATATTGTTACTAATAATGTGTGTGTTTTTTAAAGTTTTATGTGTTTATATTTTTACCAAATGAGTGATGAACCTTCTGGCATGTTTCTATGATACCATGCAGCGAGTATATTTGAATTTGATAAGTAGAATCGGGTGTTTTGTGTTCAGCTAGTGGTTACAGAGATAGAGAAAAGTTACATTCTTTTACAAACTTTACTGTTTTCGTTTTTACAATGTCAATTTGCATTGATTTTAGGTTGCAGTAAAAATTGACCAGTTAAGCTGCAATCAGAGTCATCTTAAGTTGCAAAATCCAAATTTTCCCTTGTTTAAGTCTACCACAAAATGACCTGTTGACATTATTTCAATGATTTCATGTTGAGTTAGGGGAAAGTAATAAATTAGGTCAACTAAATTAGAAAAGCCGGATTATTATTTTACATCAGAAGTGATTCACAGGCAAAAATATCATTGAACGTTGACAGAAAATTAGACTGAGATCAAAAATCTTATTCTTCTGCCTATCGGGAAAGATTAATCAGGTCTCCTTCAGAGGATTATTTTGGGCTTTTCACCACTATGGATTTTGCTCAGAAATGGAAACAGGAAGGTGTGAAGGTTTATGCACAGGTGAAAACATTGAAACGCTATCTTGGTGTGAAGAAAGGCAGCAAAAAAGTAAAACATCAAATAGTTTCAGACGTTAAAAAAATGTTTGCCAAAAATTCATGCCATGAATCACATCAGAACATCCTTTGTAAGTTTGTCAATATAACTCTCTGAGGTTTAGGAAATGTAAGGAATTAAACCTCAGATTTACCTAAGAAACATTTAAGGAAACACATCTAAAAACACAAATTCAGCACATTTTGATAAAAAAAAAAAACACTCAAAACTTTGCAGATTATGAAATAATTTTACGTGCTTCCTGTTTTCGGTCTTTAATAAGGTCAGAGTCTTTCGGGCCGTTCCAAGACAACGTGCTGGTGGCCATGACCTCCGAAGTGGAGCAGCTCTTGTCTAAAGTAGGTTACGTCTTTACCGTTAGGTCAGTAAATACTAACATGAAAATGATATTCATTATATTGTTTTTTAAGATTATTAGGAGAATAGATGTTTGAATTAAATTGAGTTAATTTCCATCATTATGTATTTATCTTATTTAACTTGTTAAATTATTTATAGTTTACTCTTATTCAAAATTTGCTTGCAGCTTTCGGCGGTCAATGACAAAATGGCGGAATACACGAACACACCTGGAGCTTTGTCTCATAATGCGGCTTTAATGCACACCTTACAGAGACACAGAGACATTTTACAGGTACTTACTGCTGAACGGTTCTGCTTTTGAAGGATTTCTGGCTTAAGATTTCTCATCATAACTGTAATAATGTTTTTTTTCTGTAGGACTACACACACGAGTTTCACAAAACCAAAAGCAACTTTGTGAGCCTTCGAGAGCGGGAGGACCTGCTGGGCTCTGTTCACAGAGACATTGAGTAAGCAAATCCACACATCGGCACATAAACACACATTCCATATAATTCAGATACCACACAACATTAGAGGTGTAATATGTAACTTTTATAAAGAATATATTTGTTATATATTTGTTAAACTGTCACCATGTTTGTTATGAGACAGATAATCTGTGAAAAGATCGATTTTCTCCCTGAACTACCATTAACATCCCTGACCAAAAGCAACCAATCAGAGCCAGGAGCAGGGACTTAGTGCTGTCTATCAATCTCATGTATTCTCTGCTAAATTTGACAATGGCTTAGAAATAACTTGCTGTTCAGGAAAACTGTTTATCAACCATCATCAGTGCTATGCTATGTAGCCTTAGCATTCACAGCAGGCTCTGCTGACATAGAAAAGCTGTAGCAATTTCCTCTGGCAGCACGGATGAGCAGCACCACAAAAGATTGTGATTGACAGCGCCAACAGCCGCCTCCAGGCTCTGATTGGTTCTTTCTAGTTAGGCAGAGGGGCTAGATTTTTTATTTTACAGATTATCTGTCTCATAACAAACTGTACTGTCATAACAACAGCTTCAACAAATATATGAAAAAATTGCTTTAAAGAAGCTATATGTTGCAACTTTAATATGAAGTGGATTTATAAATGCACAGTTATTTATGTTGTTCTCAAAATCCTGACAGTTTAAGATTTACCTTGTTATTTATTTACATCTCAGTCTTGTAGTGTCCATTCCTTTTCCTGTGTTGTTTTTCTTTCAATTTTTTCACTATTAAAATGTCCTAAGAGGATTTTGGTATTTTATTCTCAACCATTAGGGGGCAGAGATGTGCAGCTTCTTTCTGTACACCCGTCCTCATCTTCCATACTCTAATAAGAGGCACCTCCTTTCATTACGGCTTCCTCCTCCCTGGATTTGTATCTCCCTCTCACTGTCCGTTTTCCTCTCCTTCTCTGGGGAATCTCTTTTCCTAAGTGCCTTTTACAGTAAATCAAACCACAAGGCTTTCATTCAGCTCAAGAAGAGGGAGAGTGGTTACATGTGGCCGGCCCGGTCCGGAGAAATGCTGCATCAGAACAGGAGAGGGAGAGGAGGACGGACAGATGGAGGGAGGAGAAATGCGCCCTGATCTGAAACTGACGAGAAGAAAGGAATTTTAATTATTCCCATAGAGATACGTGGTGAGATGAGTGGTAACAAAGCAGATAATAGATGATGAATTGAACAGATTATTGCTCCAGATATAAGGTGTAAATAAGAGATTGAAGCAGAGAAAATCACTAAAAAGTATAAATACTGGTTTTAAAAACTTCTGTTGAATTTTTCTAAAGTCTAAAGCTAGAGTCTGCTTTTATTTTGAGGGTGAAATAACAATTTAATTTCACAAACTTCAAACTTTCCCACAATTTTATGGTCCAGGAAGGCAGGATTGATTACCGTCATTTCAAACTTTATCGTCTTTGTCAGAATTTCTTCTGATTTTCTTTGGATTTCTAAAGTTTCTTATCCAACTAACAGAGTTGAGTAGTAACTAGTTACATTTACTCTGTAACATTTATTTGATTAACGTCTTTAAAAGTGTTATTTTTACTACGCTTTATTTTATAATGAAGTGTTGTTACTTTTACTTGAGTAAATTTATTAATTTTCTACCCACTGATTGAAAAACAGACATGTTTTAACTAAAATTTCATCAGACACCGACACACCTGCAGTTTTATATATATGTATATATAAAGAGAATAAAGACGTTAATCAAGTAAATGTTACTGAGTAAATGTAACTAGTTACTATTCAACTCTGTTACTTTCTTATATTAGTTTCTCCTGTTACTCATACTTGTTTACTTTTGTTTCTTTTTTTAGGACAAAAAGTATTGTCCAAATGCTTGTTTGCTGTTTTACTTCTAATTTCTCATATTAAGTGTCTCTGCTGTATTTTTCTAATCAGATTCTACAAAAGCAGCTCAGGAGTGAATAACAGGAAGTCTGAACTTTTTCTAAAGGAACATGAACATCTGAGGAAGTAAGGAAGTTTTGGGAAATCCAATATTTCTCTCTCTTTCAGATAAAAAAAGGAAAATTATGTTTTGATGTGCAAAACGAGTTATTCTTTCCCATCTGCAGTATATAAAATATAATTTCCCATTCATTTTAAAAAGTAAAAGTACATTTTTAAGTTGTGAGTCTCATTTAAATGTATATATTGAACAATATTTTTAAACTTCTGCTTTATAGAGAGGTGAACAGTGAAGAAGTATTCTACAATAATGCTTTGAAGAATTTGAATTAATATGAGTAGCAGCAACATTTTCTTTTGGATCAGTACATTTTTATTTTTTGAATGTAGAGAACGGATGGATTATCTTGGTTATAGATTAATGTTAAATTGCTGCTAGTGTTAATCCAGTTGTTGGTCTGAACTTTTTCTAAAGGAAAAAAATCAAACAATCGCACACCACTTCTGTCTATTTGTGAAATTTGTGCATAATTTAGCTAATTTCCACACTAAATGCCTCCATTTTGTTTATTGTATGCACTATATTTATGTTAATTAATCTAGCATCAAGAAAAGTGTCAATTTAATCTCATTAAAACAGTCAAAAAGGGAGGAAGTGGGAAAAGCAGAGCTGGGAATCATCTGCATAGCAGTGGAAGTTGATATTAAACCGGACACAGAGCGGTGGGCGGTCAGTTTTTGGCTCGCCTGTTAGCGCACTGCTCTGCCACTTCTTAGTCTCTTGTTTGCTTTGCAAACACAGATAGATAAAATAAAGCTCCTCATCGTGTGTCGTCTCTTTAGAAGCTCCTCCATTCTCAGATGAAGGTAGTAAATCACCAAAACAAAACAAAGGAGCGGCCAAGTCAACAGCTTAATGCGTTCTGTGATAAAAGGAGCCGGGCAGCACAAAAAAGTCCGAACCGGAGCAACTGGATGGTTCTGATTTGTGTATGAACACAGGCGGCTCGATGGGCCACATATAGATTATTGAGACCTTTGATGAATGAAAGTCTACCAAATATTACCTCTTAACAACAGAAGGTGATTATCCACAGTCTATGATATTTAAGTAAAGTTATGGAAAGGTAATTGGAAGGGAAAACTCCCATCAGTACATTTTAATTGTTGTAGTATTTAATATTTATTCTAATGTTTCTCTTTGAGCAATTGGCAGACAATGTTAGTATAACGACAAGAAGCTAACAGTTCTGCATATTTGAGTAGTTAAAATACATCAGCAACATTTCTGTTGAACTTGTCACATGATGGTTTTATCAGGCAGGTAGGCTGCAGATGGATACTGATACCAGTTTCCGCTTTGCTTCTTTCCCGTTTGGCCTGATGTAATAATAATGAAGCTGCAACCTGCTGCACGCACATATAAAGGGATATGCATCACACATGCAGTAGTGAGGGGGTTATTTCATAGCAGAAGTAAGAGAAATATCTCCATGTTTACACAGATAATTTGAAGAAAATGTGAAAAATACATGCTAGTTTATTGCCCAGTACTACCCAACGTTCTGTTCAACCAGTTTCCCCGCTGTAGAATTTGAGTAAATCAAGAAAAATTGGATCATGTTAAAAGCAGAACTCTGTGCCAGCTAATGTAGGCTGGACAGTAATGCGGAGGACAGCAGTGGAGACGAATAGATGGAGAAAATATAAAGCTCCGTATTGATTTTTGGTCTCCAGTGGAGTCTGACAGGATGCTCGCTGCTGCCTTTCCATGCTCTTTCAGCTCTGGACCGAACACTTCATTTTTCAGTTCGTCACTTACCAGGGCTACTAATGGCTGCCTGCTGAAACACAGATGAGTGCGTTCAAGCTCAGTGTCTTCCCTCTACAGTCCTACTATCCTTACTTGCACCCCTAATGAGAAAGATCTGAATCGTTCATGTGTCCAGAGAAGATTTGTTACACAGAGTAACTGATGCTAATCGACCGAAACCCTCCGTTAAACAGCAATCAGCCCTGCAGGATTCAATAGAAGTTCTGATTTCATGACAAAAGGCCTTACTGTGTTGGTAGAAATGTTTTGCTTTTGGTTTAATTAGTCACAATCTGGACAGTAAAAATAAATTCTTTAATTTCTGTCCCGATCCCTCATAAAATCCCTGCTAAAACACAAAATGTTATCAACAATTTTTTCATCTAGTTTCCATTACAAATATCTTAGTATACTTGAAAAATGACAAAATTATCTAAAACGTAACTTTTCAGCAAAGTGTAGGAGCTTTAGAGTAAATAATTCCTTAATACTGATGAAAAAGTGACTCTTTCATTGCAGGATTATTTCACTTATAAAATGAGGAAAATGTCTTGCTATAGTTGAAATAATCTGCCAATGAAACAAGTATTTTTCCATCAATATTAATAAGTTAATGATTTAAAACTCCTATATCTTGCTGAAAAGTTGCTTGTTTTTGTTTTATTTTTGTCTTTTTTCAAGTACTAAGATATTTGTAAGAAACAAAAAAAATGTTGTGTTTTTTTGCAGAGAGTTTTTCAAGAACACAGAAATGTTACTGCCAAAAACCATTGCATTTCTACCATCACAAACATAAACATGGAGCCTGTTAAACTCCACAGGGGCTTTAGGTGAAACTGCTTGTTATTTAATTTGAAAAACAAAATGTTATGAGTGTATGAAATGAGTGTTTTGAAATGTTCATGAACACGTTCAGAAACCAGCGTAACGTTCTGCCTGACACTGAATGGAAATTTTATTTGGATTCAGTTTTTTGGTATAAACCATAAGATAAATATGTGGAATAACACTTTATGACCTCTTTAAAGTTTGGTGAAACGTTTGTAATACTTTATGAACCTCTAAATAAATTTTTTCATATGTGTATTTTTTAAATTAAACAAACAGCCTCATTTACTGTCTTTAACCATCTGTCCAAATAAAAACCAAATTGGTTTTATTTAATATTGGTTTGTCTGATTATCAGTTGCTCGGTATTTGAGTGAAGCCTTTTGTAAATACTTTTTTTATTTTGAACTATTATATCTACATAATGGATTTGCTTTGCTACATAAGTAAAGGTTGAAATTTTCTTAAATTTTTGCACAATTTTACCAGGAGAAGCAATAAAATTACCATCCAAAGTGTGTTTGAAATCGTCTCTTTAATTTGTCAGATGGAGCTCGACTTTTTAATCTCGTTTCTTTCTTTTTATGTTCACAGCTCAAATAGTCTCATCGACAATGCAATAAGGTAAGCTTCATAGCCACATCCTGTTCTCTCCCTTCACTCCCACACACCAGGAGGATTCCCACTCGCTCTGGTCGATTAAAGCCGACTTTTGTACTTTTCAGCTCATTAACTGAGATGGTAAATGCGGTGTAACATGATATCACAAAGGCAAATATGTTTCTCCATTTCTGCTCCTGATCCCTCTTGGTTTGTCTTCTTCCTCCAGCATTGCCATGGCTACAAAGGAGAACATCACATTTCAGCGTGGGATGCTGAAGTCCATTCAAACCAGGGTCACAACTTTGGCCAGTATCCTTTTAGCTCAAATCGATTCTGCTTTTGCTTCACTGTTAGATTCATATTTCAGCTCTTAGCATTTCTATAACAACTGCGTCATTCGCTCCCATTTATGCTTTTTTAATTATTAGTAGTATTTGCGTGGTTATATTAGAAATCCCACTAATGGATTTTGTTTTGCCTGCTGCTTTTTGTCTCTTACTGTGAGGAAGGTAGGCTCGGCTCTTAATTATTTTTCCTTCACCACAATTCCCCTCTCCATCAGATCGTTTCCCTGCTATCAACAGCCTCATCCAAAAAATCAATCTGCGCAAGAGGAGAGACTCTTTAATCCTGGGTGGAGTGATTGGTATCTGCACCATTCTCCTTCTGCTCTACACTTTCCACTAAACATACAGCTCCTGTAACTCAGACCAAATGTTGCCTAGAGATTTAATACTCTCTGTTGTAACTGAGATGAATAATTGCTAACGGTTGTTTTCTTGTGATGTTGACACTATAAATGCTTAGAGATATTTTCCTAGAATCATGTTCTGTTGATGTAAGTTTTTCTTAATTAAAAGGTGGTGAGCGTTCAATCTGTCATGCTCAGTCAAGTTTATTTCAGCCATGCAGATCTATGGCACAGTCGTACAGTATGAACGTATAAACATGAGCATCAGAGTCCGAACATGAGTGCATATGAATGGAAACGCCCCGTTTCATTGTTTATAGATTATTGTAAACATTCACACAGTTATGTGGAAGCCAACCAGGAGTCAGTACAGCTTATCAGGTTAACACGCGAAGCAGGACATCAACTAGAACAGCAGGAAGGCTTCAAATGATTTAAACTGGAGATGCACCAATCAACAGGTCGAAAACGGAAAAATCTGAATCTTTTCATTGAATCACTTTTTTAACCGAGGGTGTCCAAAATAAGGTCCAGGAGCCATTTGCAGCCCTTGGAATATTTTGTGCGGCCCTGTTTCCTAATCAATATTGGCGCGAAGGACACGTTTTAAAATGTTTTTCACCAACAAAACGTAAAAATACTGAAATATATTGGGCGTCACACCTTCCCCTTTTCGATTTTATAGTAAATAGAACAACTTTACCCAGAGGAAAAGTCAAATCATTACATTAAATGAATGTTTTCAAAGGACTGACATAAAACCTATTCCTGAAATCATACAGTTTCATTAAAATAAACTTTTCTAGTTTATCTACTTGGAATATTTTTGCCTTTTTTTATTGGATAAATATATCTTTGCTTTTAACTTAATTATTTGGCCCACAAGTCAAAAGTTGTGGCTATGAAAGTATCAACCAACCAAGCTGAGCTTTTAGGAGTCAGAACTATTACAAACATCAAAGAACCTGCAGAATAAAATGAAGAAAATCTAAAGTTCAGACCTGAAAAAGAAATCCTTATCGGTGCATCTCCATTTTAAACGTTTTGTAAACAGATTCTTTTTCCCCTCGGCCATAAAAGTCCAGCTGATTGTAGCAGATTTTGTTTTTAAACAGCAAGCAGGGTTTGCTTTCTTACTCCTTTATCTTCACTCTATTACACTCTTATGGGAGTCCTTAAATTCCTCTTGAAGTCCCTCTAGTTTGGTTTCTAAAAGGATTTCTTCTCATTCCTTTATTCCTGAGTTTGTGGTGTTATCAAGCAGGACGTTTCCTGAAAAGGACTCATGATGCACACCATCTTTCTTCATACTTTTTTTTTTTCTTTTGGTCCACAGCAGAAAAACCGAACAAAAAAAATGTGCACATTGGAATTCCTTCAGATTTTTCTCAGCTCGTATTTTGCTCTTCCTTCTGTCTTCAATCTGAAATCCTCATCCCTCTGTGGAATTTAGAGATCTGGAGAAGTTCAGGGAAACTGTTTCCATCCACCTTGACTCATTGTTGGGCCTCTAAGAGAAAGAGAGCAGAGGAAAATATCTTAAACATTTAAGTCTTCCTGCGGTGAGCTAGCACTCGGCCTGTCTTCATACCTATTGTAAGCACTATGAAGATGATTACAACCACACCCGTCAGCATCGCCAGAACACTGAGCAGCATAGATCGACGCCCATACTTTTTTGCTCCCTCGATGTCTCCCGTGTGGAGAACTGACCTCGACTGATGGGGGGGAAAAAAATTCACCAAGCATTAAATATTTAAATGCGCTGCTGGAGGAAAACCACCTGTGGTGCCAAAAAAAAAAAAATACTAGAAGAAAGTCGTTGAAGGATTGCAAACACTCACCACATTCGCGTACCACAAGGCGCAGACATTGAACGGCACTCCGGGGCAGAAGCAGGACACCACGGCCAGCCAGAGGTAACTGGGCGGCTCGGATCCCGGTGGAACCGGGGAGGAGAGCTGGCCCAGGCTGAGCCGGGAAGAAGATCTGGGTGGGGCCGTCAGCTGCCCGATGGAGCCCGACTTCAGCGGGGACCTGCGTCCGTTCTGCTCCGCGTCCAGGGAGCGGACGCTGCCTCTGGCGTTCAGAGGGAAGGAGTCGGAGGGTTTGAGGTTGCTCTCCCCGGTCGGTTCCGCGAGGGCTTTGCTCAGCAGCTTCTCGGTGTCCTGGAAGTCGGTTGGGTTGGAGACTTCCCTCTCGCCCAGGCCACTCTTCTCGAAAACGGCGTCAGTGTTGATAGCCATCACCGAGCGGTAGGATGGAGGTCCTAGAAAGTCTTCCCTCAGTTGTTCTCCTTGGGGGGTCATCACATTAAAGCGTTCAAATTCAGAGAGAGGCCTATTTAATAAACCGTCTAACTGCATCCAGATCCCTTATTGATGAACTCGATGTTATTGATGTCTCTGTCCCTCTGGCGTTTAGTTGCCTGTGACGCACGCCTCGCTTTTTACCCCCACCCTCTGGTGTTAGCTTTGTGAGGTATTACAGCATCCATCCCTCACATCCTAGGCGCATCACCAGCGCAGGAGCCCTACTTAAGCACCAGGCGAGGCATAGGAATGGCCAAAAAAGCGATTAAACCTCCTTTAAAGTGAACGCGCGCAGTGCGTAAAAGCATTCCATTTACGCGCGGCGGCAACAGCCAGATCAGCAGCCAGGACGCGGCCAAGTGCGAGTAATGGAGAAAGGAAAGAGAGCGGATCACAAACCTTTCAGTATATTCACGATCTGCTGACTGAGAAACTACTGCGAAGTTTGTCCTTATTGAGGTTTTTAAGTAGAGGAACCTCAGATGACCGGTGAAAATCTTTGGTTTTCTGAGTTCAATAAAGCCTTTGCTAAATGTTTATAGCATTCTTGTTTTTAAAAGCATGAGTTATGTACTTCAGTAGGGTCCAGTCTGTTCTGTTTCATATATTTACACCTGAAATGTGAAAAAGTGGAGCAGCTGCTCCATTGTTTCTGAAAATTGGGCTCCAAACTCATGTTTTTGCTCCTCGATTTTCCTTTTCCCAAAGGAAGGTTGTACCTGAGGAAGAATTTGAAGAGAAGTTCAGGTGCAGAAACTAACTTTTTTCTCAAGGTTGCAGCAAGATGTTGCATATCTTCTACAAGTCTGTTGTGGAGGCTGCAATTTCTTCAGCCACCATTTGTTGGGATGGCAGCAATTTGGACAGTTTTATTTTTGGAGATGAGCGACACGTCAGAATGGACGATAATCAACAAAACGCGTCAGGATTCACCAGAAAACCGGGTTACTGTCGGCGGGAAGCGGCTGAACATCGTGAACAGGTGAAGACGAGCATCTGCAAACTTTACCTAGCTGCTCAACTTTATGCATCAGATGTTTTATCTTCTAATATTTTGAATTATAATTTAAGAATCCATGAATTTGAGACGAAATGCCTAATTTTCCTTCACTGTTTTTATTTGATTGCAGTTTAATATTATTACACTTTCCATAAGGGGGAGGAGGATTTAGTTTTAGAAGAAATAATTTAGCTGCATTATTTGTACTGTCATTAACTGTTTGAGTTTGACCGATTCAGCGTGTCGTTCCGGAGTGGACGGCGATGCTTTGACTAGGACATTTGTCTTTTCCTCGTCACCGTGATCCTGAAGATGGAGAGCAGCACCACAAACTGGTCACAGTTCACTATAGTGATGCGTACAGAATAAACACCATATTAAGAGATCAACAGGTTGGTATAACATTTTATTTATGAAACAATTTGCAACCAACGAAGCAAAACTGAATTTCTGACACACAGAATAAAGATAATTGGTTGTTTATTCGGAAGTAACTGATTAATGAATTATAAACGTTGTATTTAATACCACAAACACCAGTAAATGTAACAAAATGCTTCCAAAGTGAACTAGAAATATATACTGCTCAAAAAATAAAGGGAACACTCAAACAACACAATAAAACTCCAAGTAAATCAAACAAATCAAACTGTCCACTTAGAAAGCAACACTGATTGACAATCAACCTGCTGTTGTGCAAATGGAATAGACAACGTGGAAATTATTTTTATATTTATTTCATTCATTCAGATCTAGGATGTGATATTTGAGTGCTCCCTTTATTTTTTTGAGCAGTGTATTTAGTATTTAAAGTTTAAGACAGCTTTGTTTGACTAGTTAATTCTGTAACCATTTATTAAACTATAATATTGAATTACTTTTTAATTTTATTTAAATCATTAGCAAATGTTTTATGCAACAGTCATATTAAATATGTGCTGCAGTTTCGCAGTACACATGACAAAACTGTTTTTATTTCCATGTATTTGACAGACCTGAATAATAAGAATATCTTCAGTAAAACTAGTTTGACAAACTCAAAGTCATGTATTTTGATCCAGGCTCTTGCATGCATGAGATAGAAGTCTGGTGAGAAGAAACTTAGCAAGAAGAAACTTGCTAAGTTTCAGATTAAGAAAATCTCACAGGACGGTTATTCTTCTAATTTAGCAAACAGTGTCACAAATGAGATGATTACTATATTGCGTTGTTTAATTTAAAAAATTATGTATTACAGAGCAAATGTGTCAAACTCTTCAAATTAATCATTTAAGTTTAAAACGATTTAATATTCAACCTAAAAGATGAAAAACAGAAACTTCTTTCACACTTTGAAGTCTCAATAATCTCCGTTTTATTTCAGTGAGAATTTACCGCAAAAACCTGTGAGCTTGAACTGACTTTCAGAGCAACTTAAGTGGACAGATCAGGACAGGATGCCCCTTCATCTCTTCCTTCACTGAAAACAAACCGTCTGTTTGTTTTCAGGGCATTTGCGCCACCTGGTGGTGAGTTTGAGGAAGCACACCCAGACTGTGCCTTTCAAGGAGCTCACAAGTTCATACTGGTCAGTAAAAACATAGAAATGGATTTATTTATTCACTTTTGACAACAAACTACTACAGGTCATGTTTATACATCAGTGATAGATTTTTTTTTATTAGTCTTCATATTTTATTTAAATGTCTTCATCTTAAATTTATTAAAAACCAGGAATATTTAAGCTAAATTTTAAAAAATGCCTTTTTTCTTCAGTAATAAATCCAATGCCTCTCCATGTTTGTCCTGTGACTTCACAAGTGAACATGCTGCAGAGGAATTTGATGAAAAGCCGAAGACGCCTTCAGGCACTGAAAAACAGACGTTATGCAAGTTTTTCCCCCCCTTTCTTTTCCTCTGGAGTATATGTAACAGCAACTGAAACGAGGCCACACTTTTAGTCTTAAAACTTGATGGAGAGCATTCAAGGAAACAGAAAACAAGAGTTTTCAGTTTTAAATCAATGCATACACGTTTCTGTGAGGTTTTATTTTCAGTTTTTGGACAGCAGATCGATCGCTGCTGTGGTGTTTTATTGCCTTTTACTCTGAAGCGCACTGAGACTTCTGAGTGGAACGTTTTGTTCTTTATTATAAGGCGGAAAAAATCCAATCACTTTGAACATTCATGCAGGAACACACGATTTTACCACAAAAACTAATTAATGGGTTAACACAGAATACAAAGATTCAAATTGTAAATTAAATATCCAGTTTACTGAACTGTATTCCCAGCAGTGTCCGTCCTCTTCTTCTTCTTTAGTCATGCAGGACAGTGCTGGCCAGAGCAGTTCTTCAGCTGGCAGCTTTAGCATGCATACAGGAACATAAAGCTTGCCAGTGAAGAACTGCTGTGAGTCAGCCATCAGCAGAACATGTCGGGCAGTGACACACCTTCTCCTAAACATCACAAACTGCAGCTCCGTCTCCTTCCTTCTTCTGATTGTGGTTCATCCCTGCAGACAGAGAACAACAGACTGTCAAACTTCCTCTATGAAGTTTCTCCACATGAAGCGTAGGCACGAGGTGGCCTGCAGCCAGTCACACGCGTTCGGTTAGTGGGCACAGAGAGAGAGCGTGTGTGTGTGCGCGATCAGCTGTGATTAAGTAGCTAAAACTAGACGATATGTAGGAACGCCTGAGGAGATGCACGCATAAGATCATGTGTCAGATTACCAGCAGCGGCCGCTCGGCTCTGTCTGTGCATGTTCTGCTGGGCCACCGGCGAAATTCTTGGATGTTCTTTTAGTTATTTAAAAATCACAGACGGCCTCTCAACGAAACAGTCAGTTACTGTGGTTACGGGATGAGCGAGAGGAGCGGGCAGTCTGTGCATGAGAGTGGAGACGCTGGAATCATTTCAGAAGTGCAAAGACCTTTTAGTGAAGCATTGAAGGAATTTCAGGGGGTTTAGGAGAAGTATCATGTAGTTAAATATGATATAGGAACTTTAAATTGGGTTTAGTCTGCACTAAACTTCAATGTTCACAAATTCAAATCAAAGTTTTATCTCAGAGAAAAAGAACATTAAATCCTCCTCCAGTGATATAAATCTAAGTGGACTCATTTTTCTTTTTGAAAACTAAACTATAAAGTACTTGGCCAGCATTAAAAATATTTTTTAGCCTTCCTGTCCTAAGAGGTGACATCACACTGGGTGTGTGAGGAAGTGCTTTCAGAGATTTGTATTAATATTAATATTTTACAAGTCAAAATAAAGGAATAAAGTTGACTTATTTAACTGATTATCGTGGTTAGCAACACTAGCATGAAAAAACAACATCCTCTGTGTGACTTGATGTGGAAACTGATGACAACAGATTTTCAAACATTTACAGAGAAACTTTGTTCACAGGAATCGGCCTTCCTGTTATCTGCAAAAATGTCTTTCTGGCTCACACCCTGAATGAACAGCAGACATGTATCAACATATTTTATCGTTTACAGTTCTTTTAAATAGCTTCTTTCACTTCACACTTCACTGACCTTCTTTCAATAACTGCCTTCTCACGAAGAGTGTTGCAGTCACTCTTTGCCAGTGGATCTTTATAGTGCAGCCAGAAATCAAACATTTCATTTTTGTGCTTCCCCCCTCCATGCTAAGCTGAATCAGTTACCTAGCATCTCACTCCAGTCTTTGGTTACCTAGCAACAACATGTTGAGTAACATGCGCAGCAGCAGTTTCAGTTTTCGCCACTGAGCCTTTAATAAACAATCCTGTTGTTTATTAAAAATAAACAACAGGATTAAGTAAAAACTGTAAAGATTAGGCCACCAGTGTGGTAATATTTCATCTATTTAAAACAAAAACTGATCAATAATGATAAATTTCAAGTGATACAAAAACACTTATTGTGATACGTTTCTCAGCCATATTGTCTAGATTTCCTCACAAGAGACAAATCAGGCTGTTTGAAAAACACTCAGTTGATCTGTCAAAAGTGAAGGAGGTAAATACAATGATTATCTGAAAATTGTGGTATTTGCTAAAAAACGTATCACAGTATATGTGTTTTATTTCAGTTGACAGTGATGATTATTGATTCGATTAGATTGCCATTGTACGGTAAGCAGTACAATGAAATTAATAGCACAGCTCTTAATTTCATTGGTGTCCAACTTCAGTCCTCAAGGTGTCCTGCAGTTTTTAGATGTGCCACAGGTATCAAACACCGGAAT